TGAGTTTGAGCCACACATCAGGCTGTGCTGACAGCTCAGAGCCTGGAGCCTACTTCAGATTCTATGTCTCCCCCTCTCTCTACCCCTCCCCTGCTCATGCTCTGTCTCTCTGTCTCTCAATAATAAATAAATGTTAAAAAAAAAAATTAATGTCTAGTTCTTTTATCATTCCTTTGCTCAATTAAATCATTTATTAAAGATAGGACTTTTCAATTGAATATAACTTCGGTTCCCAAAGGTTTTTCCATGTATAACTACACACACACACACACACACACACACACACACACAGAGCTTTCTTTTTCTTTTCTTTTTTTTTAAATGTTTATTTATTTTTGAGACAGAGAGAGACAGAGCATGAACGGGGGAGGGTCAGAGAGAGAGGGAGACACAGAATCCGAAGCAGGCTCCAGGCTCCTAGCTGTCAGCACAGAGCCCGATGTGGGGCTCCAACTCACAGACCGTGAGATCATGACTTGAGCCGAAGTCAGACGCTTAACCAACTGAGCCACCCAGGCGCCCCCACAGCTTTCTTTTTAAGAAAGCTATCATTGTAATTTTTTAACTCCCTGACTCAACTGTTAAAAAGAGCATTTAAAATTGTCCAAGGGATTACTTCCCTTTTTCAACACATAATAAATTTATAGTTTAATTTCATTGTGATTGGTCTGTGTAGTACAACTTCTTATTTTACAAATGTTATTTTTTAAGAATGTTTATTTTTATTTTTGCTAGAGAGTGTGCATGGGAGAGGGGCAGAGAGAGAGAGGGGAACAGAGGATCCAAAGCAGGCTCCACGCTGATCAAGCAGAGAGCCTGATGTGGGGCTCAAACCTGCACACCGTGAGATCATGACCTGAGCTGAAGCAGGATGCTCAACCAACTAAGCCACCCAGGTACCCCTATTTTATAAATTTTAAAGTGACTTTTATCATGGCCTTCTGAATTTATCATTAATATTTATAAATGCTTGATGATACTTGACGAGAAGGCATGTGATCAGTAGGGTAAAACTTTGGTACATATTTATTAATTATAGTGCTCTAAATCTATTGTCCAAATCTTGTATATTCCTAAATAGTTTTTGTCTTCATCTGTCACACACTTAGACACACTAATTTTTGAGTTCTAATGGCTTTTGCCTTTTTAGTTGTTACATTATTTGGATCACAAGGGACCTAGAGTCTGTCGTCTTCACTACTGATTAGGTCTTCTGTTAGTATTATTCACTGCTGTATTGTAACCTCCCTCTTAATAAGCTAAATGCGTTTCCAGCTTAAGGCCACTGTCAGGCACCAACAGCAACAAAATTATTGGGAAGTGGGCGGGGGGGTGGGGTGGCGGGGGAGTTAAGTAGGGGAACCAAAGAGCAAGAATTAGAAAATTAAATTAGAGATTAGAATACTAAATTTTTACATTTTTAAAATTAAAAAAAAAATGTTAAATCAGTAGTGTTTCCTATAAGCGGTTTCAAATCCAAAGGCTGGCTGAGTAATCATTTATGTGACCAATATAGATGAACAATGCGGGTAATTCACAAAAGAGTGATCCCAAACCACCCCACCTGGAATTAAGACATTCTGCATTAACACCACTCTGAATCGCTATTGAAAAGTTCACAAATGTGTTCAACAGTGGCCACTGCCTGTTGTACACCAGGGCTGAAGGTTGAAGCTGATCAAGGCGCACAGAAGGCAAAAACAATTAACAAGTTACTGAAACACACCTCTGTGGATACTTGTATTTTCAAGACTCATTTCTATTTTTTTTTAATTAAGGCTTTCAATTTTAACCAGAGTTATCATCCCAGGAAAATATCTAAGGAACTGAGCCCTATGGTGTGAAATACAAAAATACTTAACACTTAAAGATTTATAGAAAGCAAAACTTGTCATCAAAGATGGTCTTACCTCTGCCTTGTGAAATATATGATTATACTATTATACTATTCTGGATACTATGAATTGTCTAATTATTCGTTTCCAAATTATACATTCAACCAACATCTGTATCACTTAATGAAGGTTTATAAATTTTCTTACATAGGGTATAAAATTTAAACTATGCCCTTAGCTATGTACACTTAGAAAAAAGCATGAATAAATAAAATCTACCCAGATAAATTCAAAAGCTTATTTTCAACAATGGTATCCGTCTTTTTTTCCTGCCAAGTTCCTAACTTTTGACCTCCTTCTGAGGAAGGCAGCTGTAAGCAAAAAAACCTAACAAGCAGATAGGAGGGGAAGCAGGGAAGCAGGAAAAAATCGAATAGGTAGTATGATTGTTCCTGAAAACATGATGGCGTCCGGTTATGATTTTATGTGGAGGTCAACACACTTTGAACGTTTCCAGAGTCATGGCGTTGCTCACACAGAGCCTTGGTCTTACATTTCAGCCACACCTGCCACGTGGGGCCCGCTGCATGCCAAGCCTGTGCTGCAGGAGGGATAAGTGCTCTGCACCAGGGCGGCTGCGAACTCTTCCCAGTGCCCCAACATCCAGGCTTTGTGCTCCAGGTCTGGAGAGCCAGGACTCCGACTTTAGCTACTGCAGTGACTAGCTCTGGGCTTTGTCCACCAGCCCACGATCAATGATACTGGACAGACCGATTAGAGTCCGAGTTGAGCTCTGGCTCCAGTCTATTTGATAGCTGACATCCACTGTGGTCTCATGTTATGGAGACTTTTTTTTTTTAAGTTTTAAAAAACTTATTTATTTTTTTTATTTTGAGAGAGAGAGAGATAAGAGTGGGGGGGGGGGCACAAGTGGGCAGAGAGAGACAGAGACACAGAATCAGAAACAGGCTCCAGGCTCTGCCCCAGAGCCCACTGTGGGGCTCGAACCCATGAGCCATGAGATCATGACCTGAGCTGAAGTCAGACACTTAACCAACTGAGCCACCCCAGGCACCCCCTGTGTTGCTTTTTCAAGAGGTCTTTCAACTGGTGTGAAAGTTTGCCTTCACTAGGCTTGCTCACATGCGGGGTTAATCGTTGAAAAGACAGTAACATTTATTTAAAAGCAGCCCCAAAGACTCTTCATGCCTACAGAAAAGTTCAAAGCCTATTTTCTTTGGGAGAAAAATATATTTAATAAGAGGCAGTTCCTCTCTGCTCCCACACACCAGCAAGCTGAAATTGATGTGGAGTAAGGTGGAAGATGATCACTCTTCATTCCATATAGTTTTACTGTTTGAAATATTTCACTGAACATGTGCTTCTTTTCTAAGTTTTAAATAACTGAAATTAGAACAGTAATGGTAGGAGCACACAGCACTTCTCCTGCGTTCCTTTTCTCTACTGGACAGGCACACAGGGCTGCACCAAGAGCAGGGCTGGGGCCACACTGGCTGTGCTACACCTCAGCTGGGCCAGTGCCTCGTTGGGTGATCTTGCGAGTTACTTAACCTTTCTATCTTCAGTCTCCTCACTGGTGAGACTGAGGTAATGTTAGCACCCACCTCAGAAGGCTCCTGGGAGGATTAAATGAGTTAATATTCACAGCATACTTAAAACACCGCCAGCAGAGAGCACTTGCCCTGCACATCTTAGTTGTGGCTGGTTACCATTACCGTGATCATCATGGTGAAAATCAGGAGGCACAGAGCATGCAGTGAAGGTCTGATGCTAAAAGTATGATCTTGGGAGAGTGACCTAGCTTGGGAGGCCTCAGTTTTCTCATCTGTAAATTGGGAATAACTACTGATTTCACAAGGTTGCTGTGAGTATTAAGCAATACACTGTGCGTGTATAAAGCCCTAAACACAGAGCTTGACTTTCTCCAAACGCTAAGTGGCAATGATTTTTATAATGAAAATTTGTGCAAATTGAAGGTTTTCTATATACTGTAGCAAAAAAAGGAAAAGAGGAAAAAACAAGGAAACAAAACACCTCTTTCCAATGAGGCTGATTCTCCATGCCACAAGGCTCCAGATTTGCCAGCTGGCCCACTTAAAATATTCCCATAAATGCCACCTGATATTTTAATATCTGAAGCACGAAGCCATTCACATTTAGTGGCATTTGTTTACAATAAACACATTGGTTGGAGTTTTTTAACTGTGTGTGAACACAGATGGCCATCTTGTCTTGGTTACTGTGGTGCCTGGGTGCCTACAATGGTGCCTCACACAGAGCAGGTACAGAGGAGTTTTTCTTGAATGACATGAACAAATGAACCGAGGACAAATCTGGAAGTGCTTTTGCTTTGTTGGAGTATTTTTGTGTATAGGAGGCCCACTTGAGTATGTTTTAGCACTCTCTCCAGTTGCTGGGCAGACCTGGCTTCCAGTCCTGACTCCTCCCTAGGTGACCTCAGATAACTCCCTGAAACTCACGGAGACCGATTCCTCTTCCTGAATCTTTCAGGTTCCTTGCAGCTCCAGCATTCCCCATTATAAGGAATTCCCTCGTGCACAGCCCTGAGTTTACAGCACTTGGCAGTGATCAATATTCAGCATCACCCCTCACTTAGAATTTACTCTAAGACAATATAGGCAATTTGAGCAATCATACAAAGAAAGAGAACTGACACAACCGAGCCTTACAATTCCATTGAGATGGTTCCTGCTTATGTCTACTTCTACTGTCAACTCCCAGTCCCCTGCACTGGTTGGAACTGAGGGGCATGCCTCCATTTGAGCCTATGAATACGGTTAGTGTACACATGACTTCAATGCAAAATCCACTGTGGAAACGAGAGAGAAACAGGACAAATGGAAAGTGTGAAGCACACGTGGAAGGAGTGAAAGAAAGCTCTTGCCGTACATGCACTGAAAAAGCAAAGTCTGCACCACCGAAGGGGTCCTGCTGCTGAGCACAGAAGGTAGAGAGGGACAATGTGGGAAAAGCGAATGCCCACATCCAACAATACACCAGCAGACCCAGCAGACCTTGGGATGGTTGTTTTCACAAACAACCACACACAAATCACTGCCAGCTTTTCTCAGATGCACTGGGTGGCTGTGGACTGATCCCAGCAGCCCGGTGGCAGGGACCTACCTTGCAGTGTGTGGTGCTGACAGGAAGTCCGACGTTGGAGGCGATCACCACCGTGAACGCGGAGGCCAGCTCAATGGTGAAGCCGCTGCGGGAGGGGGCACAAGAGACACATCACAGGCGCTCTTTGTATCAGCCTCACTGACACCCCAGGGGTGCCAGAGTCTCACCAGAACATTCTTTGGGTCGATTGTTGGCTGCTGACTGGGCCAGATGACATTAACAGAAAAGAAACTGCTGCATAATGACAACAATTCACACTAAGACTGTGCATTATACTGTTTACAGCCCTAAATAGGCTTCTCTTTCTGGTATGTTTTCAAAAAGCACACACTGTAGTAACTGGGTCAGAAATTCCTGCTGTGCAAAAAATGCTAAATTAGTCACTTCTAAAGTGGCAGGAAAAAAATCACACTCTCATTTCTAAAATGTGTACTTATTGCAAAAAAAAGTGAATTTTTTTCTCAGATTGCTCATTTTTCTTCAAATCAACCTTACAAAAGAATCATTCATTAAAATGAATTTCAAGGGGGAAAAACTTCTCACAATAAGTAGTTACAAGTCTTAGTTGTTTTCGCAAAGTTCTCCCGTAAGTCTGCACTTCACCCCTACTAGATCCGAAGAGGACACCACAGAAGGACCACACAGAGCCCGGACGGGTACTGAGCTACAGGCAGCCTGCACAGCGGAACCTCAAAGCGTGGTAGCCCAGAGCTGCTTCCATCCAGCAGGTGAAGCCGGGGCGGCAAATTTTCCGGAAACGCAGACCCAGGGCCCAGGGCCGTTGGCATCCCCTGGGTCCTCACCACTCGCCCTCTGGGCCTCCTGTGGGGTGAGACCAGCCGGGGGCATGGCCGGGGCCTGGCCTGGGGGGCTCCCTTCCCTTCTGTTTCCTTGAGCTTCTCTGGCTCCTGCATCCCCAGCGTCTCAAATCCTCTCCCTCACCGCAGTGCTGCCGTGGCCAGCTGAGGTGTGAGGGAAGGAGGGCGAGGACAGACGGTCGGCCCTCTCCTCACTGTGACCCCAGCTGCCCAGTGGCTGCGCTGAGGGGTTGGAGGCAGACGTTCAGGCATAGAAGAGCCGGGAAGGACAACCCTGCCGATCCCGCCCGCGCTCTGGCTTACCTCGATGGTGTGATGGGGGTGAGGTCCTTCCCCATGGTCTGGATCACTCTTCTCCCCCAGACCCACAGACCCGTACAAATTCCAACTCCTCCATAAAACAGCAGCCAGACGGGGGTAACTGCTTCCTGCAGGACTGCACCTTGCTCGTAAATCAGCCACAAAGCTACCAGGGGACCAATGGCATTACTGGGAGGGAAAAGAAGATGAATGACACAGACATTGTATGTACGTGTGCACAACATGCAGTGACTTCCCAGGCTTGAGGAAAGCCCACCTGACTGTATTTCTGGCTCCGCATATAATCTTGTGGTGATTAAAATGATTTATTATTTTTTGTTGTGGTGGTGGAAAAAAACCATAAAAATCTACTATTTTAACCATTTTAAGTGTATATAATTCAGTAGTGTTAAGCGTGTTCACACTGTTGTGAAATACATCTCCAGGACTTTCTCATCTGGCAAAACCCACTAAACAGTAAGTCCCTTTGCCCGCCACCCAGCCCCTGCGAACGGCCATTTTACATTTCTATCCATGTGACTACTCTAGGTGCCTCATAGAAGTAGCGTCATTAAGTGTGTGTCTTTTGTGGCAGGCTTATTCCACTTAGCATTATGTCCTCAAGAGTCCTCCATGTTGTAGCCACAGGTCAGAATTTGCTCCCTTCTCAAGGCTGGACATTCCACGGTATGTATAGACCACATCTGCCTACACATTCATCTGACTGTGTACACTTAGGTTGCTCCCACCTCTTGGCTACTGTGAATGATGCTGCAATGAACATGGGTGTACAAATATCCCTTCAAGACCCCGCTTTCGATTCTTCTGGGTACATACTCAGAGGTAAGATTGCTGGATCAGATGGGAGTTCTATTTTTAATGTTCTGAGGAACCTCCAGACTGTCTTCCATAGCAGCTGCACCAATTTACATTCCCACTAACAGCACACAAAGGTTCCAATTTCTCTACATCCTCACCAACACTTGTTATTTTCTGATTTTTTAAATAATTTATTCATTTTTTAATTTACATCCAAGTTAGCATACAGTGCAACAATGATTTCAGGAGTAGATTCCCTAATGCCCCCTACCCATTTAGCCCAGCCCCCCTCCCACAACCCCTCCAGGAACCCTCTGATTGTTCTCCATATTTAAGGGTCTCTTACGTTTTGTCCCCCTCCCTGTTTTTATCTTATTTTTGCTTCTCTTCCCTTATGTTCATCTGTTTTGTATCTTAAAGTCCTCATCTGAGTGAAGTCATTCTGTTTTTTTTTATAGTAGCCACCTTAATGGGTGTGTGATGTATTAATTTTTTAAAGAAGCACTGAAACATCATAAGAAGTGGAAACAAATACCAAGTTCTTTTTTCTCTATTTTTCTCCATTTTCATTACCAGCATTGCTACTAATAGTAGCTACCAGTCTGGGCAGCCGTATCAGGTCCCACACGATGGGACCACAAACATGGTCTCTGTTAGTTCTCAAACCCATCCTGCAGTTAGGTATTGTCGCTCCCATTTTATTGATGAGGAAATGGATGCTAAAGTCGTGGCACTAGCAGGAGGCAGGACTCAGGTGCTCATGTCCTTTCTCCTCAACCTGCTCTTGTCACTCAGGCCCTTGGCAGGCACATATGGATGGTTTTAGGGGATGCACAGTTTTTTGAAAAAATTTTTAATTAAGACTTTATTCCTTTAGAGGAGTTTAAGGCGCACAGTGAAACTGAGGGGAAGGTAGAGCTTGCCCATTTACCTGCCCCACACATTCACAGCCTCACCATTATCCACATCGCCACCACAGTGGAACATTTGTTGTAAGTGATGAACCTTGGGGCTCCTGGGTGGCTCAGTCAGTTAAGTGTCCGACTCTCGATTTTGGCTCAGGTCATGGTCTCACAGTTCATGAGATCGAGCTTCACAGTGAGCTCTGCACTGATATCGCAGAGCCTGCTTGGGATTCTCTCTCTCTGTCTCTCTCTGCCCCTCTCCTGCTTGTGCCCTGTCTCTCCTTAAAATAAATAAACAAACTTAAAAAAAAAAGTGATGAACCTCCAAGGACACATCATTATCATCCAAAGTCCACAGTTTACATTAGAGTTCACCCTTGGTGTTGTACATTCTGTAGGTTTGGACAAATGTATAATGACCCGTAGCCATCTTTATAGCCTCATACAGAGTGTTTTCACTGCCCTAAAAATCCCCTGTGTGTATTCATCCCTCTTCCCCACCTCAACCCCTAATCTTTTCACTGTCTCCATAGTTCTGCCTTTTCCAGAATGTCATATAGTTAGACATTCATACAGAACGTAACTGTTCAGATTGGCTTCTTTCACTTAGTAATATGGTTTACGTTTCCTACATGGCTTGGTAGCTCATTTCCTTACAAGTACTGAAAAAGATTCCATTGGCTGTATCACGTTTATTTATCCCTTCATCTACCAAAGAACATCTTGGTTACTTCCAAGTTTTGGTAATTGGGTATAAAGATACTATAAAATCTGTGTGCAGGTTTTTGAATGGACCTCAGTTCTCGACTCCTTTGAGTAAATACCAAGGAGCATGAATTACTGGATCACATGGTAAGAGTAAGTTGGGTTTTGTAAGAAGCCTCCAAACTGTCTTCCCAAGTGGCTGTCCCATTTTGCACTCCCTCCAGCAACGAATGAGTTCCTGTTGCTCCACAGCCTTGTCAGCATTTGGTGCTGTCAGGGTTCCGTACTTTGGCCATCCTAACAGTTCATAGTAGTATCTCATTGTTTTAATTTGCACTTCCTTAATGACACGATGTGGAATATCTTTTCATATGTTTGTTTGCCTTCTGTGTATCTTCTTTGGCAAGGTGTCTGGTAATGTGTTGGGCTCATTTTTTAATTGGGTTGTTTTCTTATTGTTGAGTTTTAAGAGTTCTTTGTATATTACTATTTTATCAGCTACATCTTTTGCAAATATTTTCTGTTTCTGGCTTGTCTTCTCATTCTCTTGACACTTTCATCATGCAGAAATTTCTAATTTTAATGAAGTCCAGTTTATCTAGTAGGATTGTGCCCTTGGTATTGTATCTAAAGAGTCATTTCCATACCCAAGGTCATCTAGGTTTATTCTTGTGTTATCTACCAGGAGTGCTATAGTTTTTCACTTTACATTTAGGGTTGTGATCCATTTTCAGTCACTTTTTGTAAAGAGTGTAAGGTCTGCATGCAGATTGTTTTTTTTGCACATGGATATCTAGTTGTTCCAGCACCATTTGTTGAAAAGACTCTCTGCTCCCCTGTATTTCCTTTGCTCCTTTGTCAAAGATCAGTTGACTATATTTATGGGAGTCTATTTCTGGGCTCTATTCTGTTTTACTGATTAATCTTTTCTCTCAGCAATACCACACTGTCTTGATTACTGTAGTTATATCGTAAGTCTTGATGTTGGGTAGTGTCAGTCCTTCAACTTTGTCCCACTCTTTCAAGGCAGTGTTGGCTACTCCAGGTCTTTTGCCTTTATCAACTTTACAATCAGTTTGCTGATATCCACAAAATAACTTGCTGGGACTGCACTGAATTTATAAATCAAGATAGGAAGAACTGACATCTTGACAATACTGAGTCTTTCTATCCTTGAACATGGAAAATCGATTTATATCATTCTTTAATTTTATTCATCAGCTTTGCAGAAATATTTCACTATGTGGATGGTTTTCTGTTTTTAATTTCAAATGCCACTTGTTCATTACTGGTATGTAGGAAAGCAATGGACTTTTGTATATTAATCTCGTATTCTGCAACCTTGCTCTAACTGCTTATTCATCTCAGGAGTTTGTTGATTCTTTTCAATTTTTTACATAAATGATCATGTCATCTGTAAACAAAGGCAGTTTTCTTTCTTTCTTCCCATTCTGTATATCTTTTATTTCCTTTTCTTCTCCTATGCATTAGCTAGAATGCTATGCATTCAGTATAAGCTGAAAAGGAGTGGTAAAAGAGGACATCCTTGCCTTGCTCCCGATCTCAGTGGGAAAGCTTTGAGTTTTTCACCATTAAGTATAATGTTAGCTGTAGGTCTTTTGTGAATATTCTTTATCAAGTTGAGGAAGTTCCCCTTTATTCCTAGTTTACTGAGAGGTTTTATCATGAATAGGTGGTGAATTCTGTTAACTCCTTTTTAGCCTATTGATGTGATGGATTACATTAACTGATTTTTGAGTGTTGAAGCAGCCTTCTTTATCTGGGATAAATATCACTTGGTCATGGGGCACCTGGATGGCTCAGTCAGTTGAGTGTACGACTTCAGCTCAGGTCATGATCTAATGGTTCGTGGGTTCAAGCCCCACATCTGGCTTGCTGCTGTCAGCATGAAGTCTACTTTGGATCCTCTGTCCAACACCCCCCCCCCCCCCGAAAATAAATAAACATTAAAAATATATATATCATTTGGTCATGGTGACCAAATGGTCATGGTCATTCTTTTTATATATTGCTGGATTCAATTTGCTACTTATTTTGTTGAGGATTTGTACATCCATGTTCATGAAGGATACTGGTCTATCGTTTTCTTTTATGTTAATGTCTTTCTCTGGTTTGGGTAATAAGGTAATACTGGCCTTAGAGAGTAAGTTAGGAAGTATTCCTTCTACTTCTATCCTTTGAAAGACATTGTAGAGAATTGGTATAATTTCTGCCTTAAATATTTGGTAGAATTCACCAGTGAACCCATCTGCGCCTGGTGCTTTCTATTTTGGAAGTTATTAATTACTGATTTGATCTCTTTAATAGGTACGGGTCTATTCAGAGTGTCTATTTCTTCTTTTGTGAGTTTTGGCAAAGTGTGTCATTCAAGGAATTAGTCCTTTTCATCTAGGTTATCAAATGTAAGGGCACAAAATGGTTTATAGCATTATCTTTTTAATGTCCATAGAATATATAGTGAAGACCTGATTTCTGATATTAGTAATTTGTGTTTTTCTTAGTCTGGCTAGAGGCTTATCAACTGATCTTTCAAAAAATTATCCTTTGGTTTCACAGATTTTCTCTTCTGATTTCCTGATTTCAATTTCACTGATTCATGTTCTAATTCTTATTATTTCTTCTGCTTACTTTGGATTTAATTTTCTCCTCTTTTTCTAGTTTCTTTGGGTGGGAATTGAGAATACTGATTTTATGTATTTGTTTTTCCTAATATATGTGTTCAATGGTATAAATTTCCTTTTTAGCACTGCTGCATCCCACAAATTTTGATGAGTTTTCCTTTTTTCATTTTTTAATGTTTTTTCATTTTTTTTTTAGAGAGAGAGAGAGAGACTGTGAGGGAAGGGCAGAGAGAAAGGAAGACACACAATCTGAAGCAGGCTGTAGGCTCTGAGCTGTCAGCACAGACCCTAATGTGGATTCTTTTTTTTTTTTTTTATGTTTATTTTTGAGAGAGACAGAGAGTATGCAAGGAAAGGGCAGAGAGAGAGGGAGACACAGAATCCAAAGCAGGGTTCAGGCTCTGACACGGGGCTCTAACCCATGAACTCTGAGACCATGACCTGAGCCAAAGTTGGATGCTTAACCGACTGAGCCACCCAAGTACCCCCCAATGCAGATTCTTTTTTTTTAATTTAATTTAATTTAATTTAATTTAATTTAATTTAATTTTTTAATATGAAATTTATTGTCAAATTGGTTTCCATACAACTCATCCCAACTGGTGCCCTCCTCAATGCCCATCATCCCCAATGCGGATTCTTAAAGCCTCTCATAGGGCTCTGAACTGAGAGTGGCGCCTGCTTAAGATAACTCTTTCTCTCTCTCTCTCCCTCCCTCTCTCTGTCCCCCTCCCTTCCCCCCCCCACATGCTGTCTCTCAAATGAAAAAACAAACAAGCAAAAACAAAAGCATTCCTCATTTCTGTTACAGTGTTATCTCTAGTATTTCCTTCTGGTTCTTTCTTACAGTTTCCAAGTCTCTGTTAACATTGCCCCATCTGTTCTTGCATGCAGTCTACTTTATCCATTAGAACCCTTAGCATATTAATCACGGTTGTTTTACATTCCTAATATGATCATTCCAACACCCCTTTCCATTTCTGGTTCTGATGCCCGCTCTGTCTCTTCCAATTGGTTTTTTGTTGTTGTTTTTTTTTTTTGCCTTTTGGTATAACTCGTAATTTTTTCTTGATAGGCAGATACCATGTACCAGGCAAAAGGAACTGCTGTAAGTAGCCTTTAGTAAGGAACATGGTGGTGAAATGCAGGAAGGCGAGGAAGCACTCTAGAGTTCTATGGTTAGATCTCTGTCTTTTCATGAGCCTATGCCTCTGGACTGTGAACTTCACAAGTATTTCTCAGGTTTTCTTCTCCCCCTTTATGTAGGATAGGGTGGCTCAAGTGGGCTGCAGCTGGGTGTTTCCCTTCCTCCAGGTTAGCCTGTGATAATAACCCAGCAGGTTAGGCTCCCATTAACTAGTTTCCCCTCGGGGTTAGGCTTGTTAAGAACACAGTGCTCTGGGTATGTCAAAATGGTTACTTTCCCTCTCCCTGTGATGCAAGGGAGGAGGGGAGTTTCTCTGATTTTCACTGAGGATGAGCTAGGGCTCCTAGATATAAAGCTGACAATCTTGTGCGGGTCCCTCCCACTGGCTCTCCCTGGAGTCTCTACTGACTTTAGGAACTCATCCTTACAGTTCAGGTTTTTCTCCCTGGCATTGGTTCCCAGAGCAGTTTCCATTCGAGAGTCTGTCCTCCCTTATTCCCTGTACATGTCTCTCTCTCGTACCTGTCTTGGGGGCAGCGGTTGCCCTGTGTCCCCCTCTCTCTTATGGCTTCAAGGGGAGCTGTTGATTTTTCAGTGTGCCCACTTTTTTACTTGTTGTTAGGATGGACTAACAACAAGTTAGTTAGCTTGGATAGTCCAAGCTCCTACATGCAGAAGCACACACAGGCTTTCAACACCGGGCATCTGCAGCCCTGGTCTCCCCCCCTCAGCCCACCCTACACCAAGCAGACACAGTGGAGGCTGAGCATCAGGAAGAACTGGCTCTCAAGTCTGCTTCTCACTAGCTGTGTGATCCTGGGCAAGAAACATCACATCTCAGCTTCAGACTCCCTGTCTTTGAAAGATACCACTTATGACCTCAAAGGACCGACTTAAAGTGGATTAGAAGAGGTTATAAATGGTTCAGCACTGAGGCCTGGACTATACTTAATAATCTTTTGTTAAAGGAATAGAAGCCTTATCTTCACGGTTACATTACTTCCAGAACTTGCTTTTATCAGACCAAATCTGTATTCAGAAGCCTCAAAACCAGTCCCTAAACTGCAAGCTTTAAACTCCAGTCACCTGTAGCTGCCACTGCCTGGATCCTCCTTAGGCCTGGAAATACTGTTTTGGGGTGGTTTGTCCATGTGCATGCTTTTTTTAAATCTCCCCAACTGGAATTTATTTTATTTTATTTTATTTTTTTAATTTTTTTTTCAACATTTACTTATTTTTGGGACAGAGAGAGACAGAGCATGAACGGGGGAGGGGCAGAGAGAGAGGGAGACACAGAATCGGAAACAGGCTCCAGGCTCTGAGCCATCAGCCCAGAGCCCGACGCGGGGCTCGAACTCCCGGACCGCGAGATCGTGACCTGGCTGAAGTCGGACGCTTAACCGACTGCGCCACCCAGGCGCCCCACCCCAACTGGAATTTAAATTCCAAAGAACAGGGACCCAATTCATAACACTTTGCCAGTACCAGGATCTCAATTTTTGATCAGGGGGCACCTGGGTGCTTGGTCGGTTAAGCGTCTGAGCTCTTGATTTTAGCTCAGGTCATGGTCTCACAGTTTGTGAGCTCGAACCCTATGTTGAGCTCTGTACAGACAGCACAGACCCTGCTTGAGATTCTCTCTCTCTCTCTCTCTCTCTCTCTCTCTGCCCCTCCCCTGCATTTGTGCACACATTCTCTGTCAAAACAAATAAATAAAAACTTAAAAAAAATTTTTTTTGATCAGGAGGAAGAGGAAGTAGGGTGGTGCTGGGTGTGGGGCAGTCAAAAAATCAAGCTAGGACAGAGAATGATGCCTCAAATACAGTAATATGATAACACCTATATAACATTGAGCAGAACCCAAAATGTCCAGACCTCTTGCCTGGTGGCAAGACTTTTTAAAAAGAACAGAAATTGAATTACATGTGGTTAGGTGGTATATGGAAACCCCCAGCTATAACATGGAGAGTCATATATCTGGGCAATAAGAAATACAACAACAGCATGTTTCCCTGATTTGGACAGAAATATCAGGCCTGCATGACAGTTACAATAATAATAATAATGAAAATACACAGATACTGATTATGTGAGAAACACCATCCTAAGCACATTAAATAAAGTATCTCACTTAATCCCCATAGAAACCCCCGAGGTTGGTACTAGTTTTACTCCCATTTTATAGATTGGGACACTGAGGCTTTAGGGCATCAAGTGACTTGTGTAGGGCTTCCCAGCTCATAGGAAGAGAGCAGAGACTCTACATATTCCAGGCTTCTGAGACCTGCTGACCTTACAGTCCACATTCTCTCCCTCCGTGGCCTCCTTGCTCTTCCTAGAATACACCAGGCACACTCCTTTCTCAGGCCTTTGCACCTGCTGTCCTGGGAATGCTCTCCTACCGATGCCCACACAGCTGGCTCCCTCAACCCCTTCAGATCTCACTCAGGGAACCCTCACTTGAGCAGCCTAGCCGACACTGCTGTCCTCCAGATGTTCCCATCCCCCCTTCTACCTGATTTTCCCCTGCACATTTACACCTCCTGGCATACTACACACGCCACCTATTTACTTGTTTACTCCTGGTGACAGGGATTTGTGTCTGTTGTTCCTTGCTGCATCCTGATACCCACAGCAGTGCCTGGTGCACGAGCAGACCCTCCGAACATACTTGCTGGATGAAGGGATGGACTTACCTCACGTCATTGCCACCATGAGCAAAGGATCCAAAACAGGCAGTAAGGACTTGCAGGAAATGGAACAGGAGGTGGACCTCGGCTGTGTCCTTCTCCTCCTTCTCCTCTTCTGTAGGGTCGTCTCGGGGCTGGTCAGGATCCGTCAGCTCAGATGCCAGCTTCATTTCCACACCTCCCTCATCGGCCTCTATCTCAGCTTCTGCTACCGCATTGCAGTAGCTTGAGTAGCTGTCATAGCGAAGCCTCTTTTTAGAATAGGACACGGCGTCCCCCACCAGCTTCTCGCTGTCCTCTGGCGCAGATGACGAGTCAGCAGCTTTGAAGGTCGAGTGGACAGGCATTCCACAGATGGCTGCCGTGTAGCACGTGTAACTGTTATTTCGCCGCAGAAATCGGTAGTTGTTCTCCTGTGCGGGCCTCTCCTCGGGGCCCCTGTCTGAGTGAATCCTGTGCAGCAAGTCTTTGTAGAGCCCCGAGTCTTTGTGCACCGTGTGGTACACGTGCCCGTCACTCCTCGTGTGGCCGTCAAAGCCGAAGGTGCCGTTGGAGACGGGTGATTTTGCAGAGCCGTGAGTCATGGAAAGTGCCCTTCCTGAAACGGGTTAAAAGGAGTCTTATTTGCTAGCTTTTGAATATAAATCGTTTCTGTAAGGCAATATCCCTCATCCTTTATGGTGGTGATCTCTGGAAATTTGGGTTATGGGTGATTTTCAATCTTTTTCCACATGCTTTATTTTCCAAATTAACTATAAAGAGCATGCAATACAGTTAAAATGAAAAAGGGAACTTGGAACATACAACACATGGGCAAAACTTTGAAAGTGATGTTATTTAAGTTCTCCTAAAAAGCATCTTCCAGGGGCGCCTGGGTGGCTCAGTTGGTTAAGTGTCCGACTTCGGCTCAGGTCATGATCTCACTGCTTGTGAGTTCGAGCCCCGTGTCAGGCTCTGGGGCTCTGTGCTGACAGCTCAGCGCCTGGAGCCTGCTTCGGATTCTGTCTCCCTCTCTCTCTGCTCCTTCCCCACTCACACGCTGTCTCTCTCTCTCAAAAATGAATAAACATTTTTTAAAAAGCATCTTCCAGAAATGACTACGGCACTCTTTCCTGTTTCTAGTAACCAATAAAGGAAGAATCTTTATAAGGAACTTATTTGAGGAAAACTTCATGCGTGAGGGACAAAATCCAGTTCGCTATGAGATAGATTTGTAGGTGCTCCTTAAAGGCCAACCATAAATGTCAAAGGCAGTTATCTGTCAGATCAGTGGAGCAAAATTCATTTGCTTTCTTTGGGTCAAGTCTGAGACCGCACCTATGGGAAGTGAAAGCAGGTGCCAAGGCCCCACCTTGCAGGGAGGCGGGAAGCTGTCCCAACAGGCCTGGCAGAGGCTGGTGCTCACCCATCTTTAACCACAAATGTTACGACACAAAAGAACCCCCAAGACGGCAGGACAGTCTTGACGTTTTTTGAGGTTTCTGTGATGCTACACTAGGCTTTCTCTTTATGTCCTCCATGCGGAAGGCATGCTTAGCAAGCTGGAAAAGCCAATCTTTGGCAACCAGGAAACTGCAACATGGAAGACGCAGGTGCAGTTGACTGAGCTGCAGAGAGGTGGTGTGTGGGCCCCGGTGCCGTTGATGAGACTATAAACATCTCTTGGAAGAAAACCACAGGACCAGAGTGAGCTTGCTCTGTTGACTGCATGGTTCTTCTGAGACCTCTTTAGCCCCTGGACTACCCCAAAACATAAAACTGAGGGACACTTTTGTGCATTAAAACCTAACCACCCATGGGGCGCCTGGGTGGCTCAGTTGGTTAAGCCTCCAACTTCAGCTCAGGTCATGATCTCGTGGTTCACAAGTTCAAGCCCCGAGTCAGACTCTGCGCAGACAGCTCAGAGCCTGGAGTCTGTTTCAGATTCTGTGTCTCCCTCTCTCTCTCTGCCCTCCCCCCACCCACACTCTGCCTCTTTCTCCCTCTTTCTCAAAAACAAATAAACATTAAAAAAAATTTTTTTAATATATAAATAAAACCTAATCACCCACAGGCAGCCTGGCTGGTGTCCCCTGCTCACTGGCCCCCTAGGAACTGCTCTCTACCACCATGGAAACCCCACACCCTCTGTGCACACCTTACCGTAGGAGGCCCGGGGGTGGTTTCCCACTGATGTGCCTTCAGAGGTTCCAGATGGCTCCCCAGCTGAGCCCGTGAGAGGGACAGTGCTGTCGTCATTAGCCTTGGCACCTGGTAGCTCTTTAAATACTGGGGACTCCACTTCCTGAATTTTACTGAGGCTTTCATCAGAAACTCGCGATAAAGCAGCTTCTTTTTGTAATTTGCCTAAAGAAAATATAGGTATAACTGAAAATTCTGAAATTAGAGATCTTGTTATTGAAAAGCGAATATAAAAGTGAGCATTTATCTTTATACTTTAGTATTTAACTTTGAAAATGAAAAAATAGTTATAGCTAAATAGAAAAAATGAAGAGGAGACTTCAATCAATTATCTGGGAAACTCAAGCCAGAAAATTCAGCTACTGAGGACAAGAGGGGTAGGCTCAGGCCTCAATTATCTCCTTCAAAACCAACAAACTGAGAGGGCTAGATGCGGTCCCCACAGTCCCTTCCACCACTAGTACTCTGTAATCCTACGACCATCTGGACTGGCCTTCTATTTTCTTAAACTAACCTCAAAATCACTGAAATGTTTATCCTTTTTGTCTTCAGAGATATTAGTTATAGTCTGTTTGGTTTTCTTCTGTTCAATAAATTACTGGTCTCTGATTTCTCCAGGTCACCAAATCTTAGAAAACAAGTAAATCATTTTCCAAAAAGGAACAGAGAGATCCTAATTACTTTTAAAAATCTTTTACTTTCAAAAGATAATTTTTTTAAAAAAAGCTGCTTTAAAGCTCTATAGGATTCTTTTTAATCAGATCTTATATGTGGTGCTGATTTAATGATCTTGCTGCTTGTAGATTCTCCTGGGCAAATTTCTAAGCTCTCACCTACAGAACTAAAATGGAAATATTCTTCTCTGCTGGATATACTCACATAATCCTGTCACCTCCCTGTATCCACGTACACAGTCAGAAATACAGACAGATTTTTTTTTTTTTTTTTTTTTTAGATCTTGGACCTTAAGGTGCTTATAATCAAAATGAGAGAAGACAATATTTGTAAAGATTACAACAATTAAGCAAAAATTGTTAATGCTTACATGAGACAGGTTTTATTATTTTCTGCTTTTTATTAATGAGCAAACTGAAGTACACAGAGAGATTAAGTCATTTGCCCAGAACCACACAGGTGGTAAAATGCAGGCATTTTAGCTCTATGGTCCATGACCTTAATCACTAGTGTATACTTAAAATATTAGACCAAGAAATATATATTGAACTAACAAAATATGGCATTGATAAAACAAAATCTCCTCAGAAGCCTATTGGGAGCAATACCAGTTTCCTCCTTTTATAGCATTAAGCTGGAAAGCAAAGATTTTGTAGTCTATTCGGCAAGAAAGCTATTAGGAAAAGCCTTTAAAAATCAAAACATTTAGTGGGGCGCCTGGGCGGCTCAGTTGGTTAAGCGTCCGACTTCGGCTCAGGTCATGATCTCACAGTTCGTGGGTTTGAGCTCCCTGTCAGGCTCTGTGCTGACCATTCAGAGCCTGGATGGAGCCTTCAGATTCTGTATCTCCTTCTCTCTCTGCCCCTTCCCTGCTCGTGCTTTGTGTCTTTCTCTCTCTCAAAATAATAAGTAAAAACATTTAAAAAAATGTTTAAAAAATCAAAGCACTGAAGTATAGTTGATCATTCCTATGGGTTAAACCAGACAAGCAGTATGTTTAAGGGGCTCATCTTCAGTTAGTAGTCTGTATGAATGGTGGAGGGATAGTTATTTTCAGCAGAGAGCAGGGAGCAGCTACACAGGAGAAGCAGCAGCAATTCATCCAGCCATTATTAAATTTTTTTTTTTAACGTTTATTTATTTTGAGACAGAGAGAGACAGAGCATGAACAGGGGAGGGGCACAGAGAGAGGGAGACACAGAATCTGAAACAGGCTCCGGGCTCTGAGCTGTCAGCACAGAGCCCGACGTGGGGCTCAAACTCACGGACCGTGAGATCATGACCTGAGCCGAAGTCAGACACATAACCAACTGAGCCACCCAGGTGCCCCCATCCAGCCATTATTGATGTGGCTTTACTATTTAGTCTGAAGTTGTATGTATTAATGTGGATCTTTTTAATTTTTGTTTTAAAATTTACATGCAGTGAACTATGTATTTGTGTGCCCATCCTGATTCTAAGACATGTCTAGACTCATGTAACCCTCACCACAATCAGGATACAGAAAAGTTCTATCACCTCCCAAAGCTCTCCTGGTAGTAAGACCCACTGCCCAGCTCCTTGGCAATCACTGACCTGGTCTCTTCCCGTGTTCTGTCTTTTTCAGAATGTCATATAAATGAAACCATAAACTTTGTATTTTTATAAAATTTTTAAAATGGAAAAAACTTCTATGAGTGGGTGAAACAAAGAATTTTTAGATGTGACACCCAAAACACAATTTATAAAAAAAGAAGTTGTGGGGCCCCTGGGTGGCTCAGTTGGTTGAGGGTCCAACTCTCGATTTCGGCTCAGGTCATGATCCCAGGGTTATGGGATCAAGCCCTGTGTTGGGTTCTGTGCTGTGAAGCCTGCTTGAGATTCTCTCTCCTTCTGCCCCTCTCCCCCATTCGTGCTCATCCTCCCTTTATATAAAAAAAAAAAAAAAAAAATTAAAAAAAGTTGATAAATGGCACTTCATCAAAATTAAAACTACTGTTCTGTGAAAAACACTATTAAGGGAATGAAAAGACAATCTACAGATTAGAAGTGTTTACAAATCCCCTGACAAAGGACTTGTATTCAGAATATATAGAGAAATCTTCAAGAATATTGTAGTGAAAAAATGAGCAAAAAATTTGGACACTTCATCAGTAGAGCTATATAAATGGCAAATAAGTCTATGAAAAGGTACTCCACATCGCTAGTCATCACAGAAGTACAAACTGAAATCATGAGATACCATAGACACCAATTTGAATGTCTCCAAAACAATGGGCAAATTTTATATATTTTATTTTTTTTCCCTAAAAGTCTTCTCATTTTCTATTTTTGTTTAAATCTATGCTATGCTTTGAGTTAATTTTTTTGTTTGTTTTTTTTACAGGTGTAAGGCTTAAGTCAAGGTTCTTTTTTTGGCATACAGATGTCTGAATATTCCAATACCATTTGTTGAAAGATGATTCTTTCTCCACTGAAGTGCCTCTGTACTTTGTTAAAAATCAACGTGCCAGATTTGTGTGGGTCTATTTCTAGACTCGAGTTCTGTTCTATTAATGTGGATGTCCATCTCTTCACTAATACCACACAGTCTGGTCACTTTATATTAATTCTTTGAGTAAAGTAGTATGAATCTTCCAACTCTGTTCTTTCTCAAAAGTGTTTTGGCTATTCTAGTTCCTTTTCCTTTCAATATAGATTTTACTTTTTTTTTTTTAATGTTTTATTTATTCTTGAGAGAGAGACAGAACATGAATGAGGGAGGGGCACAGTGAAAGAGGGAGACACAGAATCCGAAGCAGACTCCAGGCTCTTTGCTGTCAGCACAGAGCCCGACATGGGGTTTGAACTCACGAGCTGTGAGATCATGACCTGAGCCGAAGTCGGATGTTCAACCGACTGAGCCACCCAGGTGCCCCTCAATATAGATTTTAAAAGCAGCTTGTCTAAATCTACAAAATAACCTGCTTGGATTTTAACTTCAACTGTGTTAAATCTAGAGAACAATTTGACGAGAACTGACATCTTAATGATACTGAATCTTCTAATTCGTGAACATGGTATGTCTCATTTGTTCTGTTCTTCTTTGGAATATGGATTTTCAAACTGAGATATGTCCACACTGAAACAGGATTGTAAGGCACACTCTGAGGCTGAAAGTAAATACTTCTTTTCATCTGAGAGCCCTGTAACAGCATGTGGCCTTAAGGCTTAGAACTATGTTGCTAAGGACAGAATAGTAGCTCTTGTAGCTTTCTGATTCATATTCTTCTTTTTGAAAAATTCTGTTGAAATATGATTTATATACAATAAAATTCATACATTTTAAACGTGCAGACAGATGACCTGTGATGGATGAGTACACCCTATAAACACTACCACAGCTGGGACAGAGAACACTTCCATTTCCATGTCCCGGGAACGTTCCCATGTGCCCCTTTGCCATTAGTCTCCTGGAAACCCCCACCATCTCCAGCACCTAGTGCTTTCTATCGCTATAGATTAATTTTCCCTGGAATCATATAGGATGTACTATTTTGTATCTGGCTTCTTTTACTCAACATAATGTCTGTGAAATTCATTATACTGTGGTTAGTTCATTCTCTTTATAGCTATGGAGGCTTGAATTGCATGAATATATCACAATTTGGTTATCCTTTCACCTATTTAGGAACATTTGGGTTGTTTCTAGTTTCTGGTTGTTATGACAAAATGATTATATACAAGTCTTTCTATGAACATATGTATTTTTTATTTCTTTATGTGTATTTATTTTTGAGAGAGAGAGAGAGAGAGAGAGAGACAGAAACAGAGACAGAGACAGAGTGCAAGTCCGGGAGGGGCAGACAGAGGGAGACACAGAATCCGAAGCAGGCTCCAGGCTCTGAGCTGTCAGCACAGAGCCCGACGTGGAGCTCAAACCCATGAACCATGAGATCATGACCTAGCTGAAGTCACACACAACCAACTGAGCCACCCAGGTGCCCCTATGAATGTACATTTTCATTTCTCTTGGATAAATATCTAGGAGTAGAATTACTGGGTCATGTGGTAAATGTATGTCTAACTTGACAGGAAACTTCAAATTTCCAAGTGGTTGTACCATTTTATATTTCACCATAAACGTCTGAAAATTCTAGTTATTCTTCATCAATATTTTGAAATGTTAGTCTGTTTACTTTTAACCATTCCTGTGGATGTGAATGGATGGATATCTTACTGTGTTATTAATCTGCATTTCCCTGAAGACTAATGCTTTTCATGGGGCTGGTAGAACCTGACCAGTAGTTAACTTCCAGTCATATGAGGCAACCAGGACCTTACTGCTCATTCCAGTCACAAGTTACCAAGAAAAAGTTTGAGCCAGAAAGCAGTTAGGAGCCAAGAGACAAGGATGGGGCACGTATCTCAGTGCTATGTTCTAGGGTTATTCATGCATCCAGTTCCCTCTGTTAGTAAGGGTAATTGTGGATTACACCTGAAGCCCCAGGAACCAGGATTTTTGTACACCAGAAGAATAAAAAAGCCCTTACCTGCTATTTTCCTCCGCATCCATGGACACACAAAGAGCCATACAAAAAGGGCAAACAGCAGTGCAACACCAAAGGAGATGAGTGCTATTGCCCATATGGGAAGGACCAGACCAAGCACTGGAAAAGTAAAGAGGACAGTGGTGTTGTCGGTGGATACTTTCTGAAAGGTCATGCTCATATCAACATACTTTACATTTCCCCAATCCAAAACTAATCACCTGGGTTTTGTATTTAATAAAACTTTCATCCAAAACAATGTGCTATAGTTTTTGGGGTAGAAAGCTGTCTCTGGAACGTTCCCATGTGCCCTGTGTTTAAGACACACTATACCTTGTCAATATGTGGTTAAACTGAGTAGTAAGCTAACTATTACAATTTTATCAATGTGGCACAAACAGCATATTAAATTGGAATAAAACCATTTACATATTATTTCAATATCTAAGTTACAGAGTTCCGGAGTGGACCATATATAGCTAAGAAAGGACGCTGTCGTCTTCTGTCCTGACATCAGCCCACTCCCATGGCAGTGAGCAGCTGAGGTCTGGAACCCTGCACCAGGCTGCTGACTGCTGCCTCTTTGGGTTTCTCAGTAGTCAGCAGCTCTGCTTTAAATGGCCATGACACTCTAACCACATACACAAACCTTTTTAAAGTCAGCTTGGAGATAAAAGTTCTATAAAAGGACATTGACTTCCAAATTTAACTATTCTTTGAATTGTCAACTCATGTAATTATAGAAAAACTTTTCATTAAAATTCAATAATGCATACTAAGTTGCAATTACATTAGCCAATAAAAGGGCAGAAGGGCACACGGTTTAGGAGCATCATATTTTCCTGGCACTGCATTCCAGAACTCATCACTCCGAATTTTGTCCATTTTCTGGCACTGGTGGCAACAGGCACATTTCACACACATTCACAGGTTTACAGCTTAAACATGCATGCTTGCACAGAAACAAAGATATGTGTACAAGAACACTTACTAATGGCTTTATTTGTAACAGTAAGAATGTGCAAGACAACTAATATGTGCATCATTATGGAAATGTGTAATAATTATAGGACAGAGTCACATAAATGAGATAGATCTATATATACTGATAAGGAAAGAGGCCTATGATCTAGTAAGTAAGAAGGGGTGCCTGGAGTACTATACTCCAATTTATGTTGTTGGTTTTTTTTAAGATTTTATTTTTAAGTAATCTCTACACCCAACATGGGGCTTGAATTTACAATCCCACCCCAGATCAAGAGTTGCATGTTCTATCAACTGAGCCAGCCAGGCACCCCCAATTTATGTTTTTTAAAAAAACCCATATTGGGGACACCTGGGTGGCTCAGTCAGTTAAGCCTCCTACTCTGGACTTTGGCTCAGGTCATGATCTCACGGTTTGCGATATCGAGCCCCACATCGGGTTCTGTGCTACCAGTGTGGAGCCTGCTTGGGATTCTCTCTCTCCCTCTCTCTGCCCCTCCCCTGCTCGTGCTCTGTCTCTGTCTCTGTCTCTCTCTCTCTCTCTCTCTCTCTCAAAATAAATAAACTTAAAATATATTTCTACTCCTACCATATGAACAAATGTATAGAAAAAGTTCTGGAATGATACAATGGTTAATCCTATAGGGACATAAGAAATCGGAGAGGGCTTTCACTTCTTACTACATACACTTTTGTACTGTTAACTTTGAAAACATAAGCATGTCACTTCTGTAAACTGTTAAACATGTTTTAAAAGTTTTAAAGGAATGAACTAGTTAAAACTTTGCTCTTTGCTCTTAGATTAAATAAATCTTTAATGATGCAGGCTTTGTTACACTGTTAACCATTTTATATATACAAACACACTCAAAGCTATTCGATTAAGGGATTATTAAACATTTTGGTAACTGTAAGAGGTAGAACAGATAGGTAATACTATAAGTGAGAGTCAGGATTAGCATATACACATACGAAAAACAAAAAACCTGAATCACCGACCTTAATTATAGCTAAGGCGTTACTGGTGGGAGTACAGACGCTTTAGGGGCTAGATTATCTGCATCACAAGTAACACACACTCTGACATCAGAAAGCTATGGACACCCTGGGGCTGCACCACGTTAGCCGGCAGCCTGGCTCCAGCCCTGGCTCTGCCTCTAAGTCTGACCCTTGTAAAATCACTCAGGCTCACCCCACCAGGCTGTGCCTGTGGGCCACCGCTTCCTGGCTTCTGCTTTAGAACTTCACATCAGTGTCTTAACACATGTGAGAAGAGCTCACACCAGAGCTGTTTCTTGCCAAACTGAATAGTAACTGCTAATTAGCAACACCAAACTGATCAACTAACATCAATACCAATCACTCTTACAGCTTAAAAGTATATGGTTTCCAGGGCACCTGGGTGGCTTGGTCAGTTCAGCGTCCGACTTCGGCTCAGGTCATGATCTTGCGGTCCGTGATTTCGAGCCCCGCGTTGGGCTCTGTGCAGACAGCTCAGAGCCTGGAGCCTGTTTCAGATTCTGTGTCTCCCTCTCTCTCTGCCCCTCCCCTGCTCATGCTCTGTCTCTCTCTCTGTCTCAGAAAAAAATAAACGCTAAAAAAAAAAAAAAAAAAAAAAAAAAGTATTTGGTTTCCGAAGAGGTTTCCTTTGTGCTTCCTGGGTTAGTTGATGATAAAACGGTTTAACTGTGCTACTTTTAGTTTCATTGTATTAATCTAAGAGAGGCAAGCCCTGGATACGGTGGGAAGAGAGAAATAATTTGGGATATATATATATATATATATATATATATATATATATATGGAGATATTTAAAATATCTATATATAGATTTAAGATACTTATACATAGATAATAATCTTTTCTTTCTATAATGTACCTATCTATCCATAATCTATTTATTTTATTTTTTATTTTTAAAAATTTACATCCAAATTAGTTAGCATATAGTGTAACAATGATTTCAGGAGTAGATTCCTTAATTCCCCTTACCCATTTAGCCCATCCCCCCTCCCATAACCCCTCCAGTAACCCTCAGTTTGCTCTCCATATTTATGAGTCTCTTCTGTTTTGTCTCTTCCCTTCCTTTATGTTCATCTGGTTTGTCTCTTAAAGTCCTCATATAATTGAAGTCATATGATTTTTGTCTTTCTCTGACTAATTTCACTTAGTGTAATACCCTCCAGTTCTATCCACGTGGTTGCAAACGGCAAGATTTCATTCTTTTTGATTGCCGAGTAATACTCCATTGTATATATACCACATCTTCTTTATCCATTCATCCATCGATGGACATTTGGGCTCTTTCCATACTTTGGCTATTGTGGATAGTGCTGCTATAAACATGGGGGTTGCATGTGTCCCTTTGAAACAGCACACCTGTACCCTGTGGATAAATGCCTAGTAGTGTAATTGCTGGGTCATAGGGTAGTTCTATTTTTAGTTTTTTGAGGAACCTCCATACTATTTTCCAGAGTGGCTGCACCAGCTTGCATTCCCATAATCTATCTATTTTAGATGAGTGAACACGTTTGCTCTAGGACACTATTTTTTTCCATCCATGCTGAGCAGAGCCCAAAATAAAAGCAGACAAGGGTTGCTCTAGATGTTCCTTCCATGCCTATCTCCATGCTTTCTGTTGGGGTCCCTTGGGATTCTCAAGGTGTCAGGACCAACATCCAAGAAAGAGAAACTGAGGTTGGTTATAAGAGTTTGACCCCTGGTGTAGACAATAAGCCACACTATCACTTGCTCTTTGTAATTCTAGCATCACAACCTCTTTTGCCATCAGTTTGGCCTGGGAAGTGGCCAGAAAGCTCTGAAGTCACCCTCCTAAGTCACAAGAAACTGGAAAGGAGAGTAGGGGATAAACCCATCACTGAGGGTGGAAGTTGGGGAGAAAGAGTAAAACATCCAGGAGGAAAAAGAACAAAGGCGTGCAGAAAAATGGGGACAGTTGTTGATGATGAGAGCAGAGGGGAAGAGGATGGGGAAAGAATGTGGATCTGACCAAATTATTCCAGCAATTTAGTAATGTGACAGGGCAGCAAAAGAACACAAGGATTCACTTTTAAAACCAGCATATAAGAAATGTGAACTGACAGTTATGTTACACAGCTGTAATTTGTACAAATATATAAAATCAAGTTTCATGGATAAAAAAACAAACACAAAAATTCAGTGCAGAAAGGCAGTTGAATCAATGTGCATCCAAGGCAAAACTTCTGACAAAAATACTCTGCATTGTCTTCCTGTGAGTACCTAAATTATTTTCCAATAATCACACCTTAAGTTGGCAATAAAATATGGCGCGCCTCTTCACTCTGTGGATAGGCAAAGTAGGACACGGCATGAATTGCTCCATTCCCTCAGCCAAAAGTGGCTGCCAGGAGCCGACACCAGGGGCTACGAGTCCCAGCCCTCTGCTCCACACACACAACAGCCTTTCAGCTCAAGCTCCTTCCATTTTCGCAACAGTTAAGACATGATGAACAGTGATTTAGCTCTAACCTCAAACATCTTTAAAATTCTATTTCAAATCCCCCCAAGATCAGACTACGCAAGAGACTTAGGAAGTAAACAGTCTTCCAATGTCATTACTTTGTTATACCTCTCATTTTTCATACATGACAGCATTATTAGAATCTATAAAATGAATAAAACTTCCAAAGGTCATTGACCTGTATTTCTTCCCTTATATTCCTACTCCTTAGCTTCTCTCTACAGCCTTTCTTCTCTATTTTAATTTATAAAATTAAAATTATTAAATTTAAATTAAAACATTAAATCATTAAATTATTATTAAATTTGTAAAATTAATTTATAAAATAATATATGATTATTATTAAAAAAGCAGTAGAAAACTGTATGATGTACAGATATGAAAATAGCTCATTACTCTTCCCTCTTGAACCTACTTTCTAGAGAAATACTGTTAACTCCGTGGCATGTTTCCTTCCAGGTATTTTCTAAATATAAACACACAATGTAGAATGTTTGTGAGAATCTCTTTTTTCCTTTAAAAAAAGTTAATGGATGTACAATCATACTGTATATATTCTGCGATTTAATTTCCCACATACAATATATCAATATATTGTGGGTATCTTTCCACAGTCTCACACACATGCACACACACACACGCACACACATACACACACGTGTGCGCGCGTTTACCGTACTTGCAGATGCTGCTGCTGCTGCACTTTGACTTAGAAGTTACATATGATCACCAGAGGCTTAATTAGGCTATCAGCTCTGACCACTCAAAGAAGCATGCAACAAATTTCAGTTCTCATTCTTTAAAAACTGAACAAAGCCAGGTCCCACACAACTGAAGACTTTTTCATTAAAAATAAACCTCAGGCTTGTATCCAGCCCAAGTGAGCACTTTATTTCCCAAAGTTATTTTTGCTTCTTGCAAATTATTTTTTTAAGGACAAAAATGCAGAGGCAATGTTTTAAAGTGGTCAGTCTTTGAAGTAGAAGAATGACTTTTGAGAAAACTTGTGTCAAATGCAAATAAATCAAACTAAGCCTAAGATATAAACAACTTCAAAATAATTGAGAAGGAGGAGCGAGGAAATCAAAACAAAGCCCTAGAGCTCAACAGCCAATGAGTCCCACTGAAGTCATGTCCATGCATAAATATGCTATTTATCAAAAGCTCTTACAGCTGAAACAGGGTAAGATTAATGTTGCTACTCCTTTTTGTTAGAGATTTTCATTTTTTCCTTTTACCTCTGAGGCACCTATGTGTTGAATGGAAATATTCTAAGGAAGGAAGGAAACAAGGAAGAATAAATTCCAGACTGGCAGGAAGGCAGACCTATTCTGAAAGGAGAGTGACCGAGTCACTGTTGAAGGGACCGTTCTTATCACCAAATATGACACCACAGCTATCAGGCAGCAAGGCCCCACGTGAGGAAGTAGTAGGTAATTACAGTCTAGTTTGAAAGCCAAAAGTTACCTTTTGTTTAACTAAAAATAAGATCTGGACTCATCTACTGGATATTCTAAAAACATGCCCCTGGAGCAAAAATATTAGCAAAATCCTTTTCTGACTTAGTGGGGAAACAAAATGGCTGGTCCTTCAGAGTCATGACTTACTTTTCTTTCCTTCTCCACTAGGCAAGCCCCCCTGGAAAACTTCAAGTAAGCTTTCCAAACCAACATGTGTGGAAAAAATAAAAGGATGACTCAGGATATGCTGGCAACTTAAGGTGGAAAAGATGAGGCTACTTATGATTGATAGCAATGAAATGGCTGCTACCATGGATTAAGATGGTCTATGGGCCAGGCACTGTGTTCAGCATCTGCCCGCATTATCTCACATAACGTGGTGTTGCTTTCACAGAAGTCCTCCTACTGCCCTTACTTTATAATGATGCACAGAGGCTCAGGGAGGTGAGGAGATGTGACATTCCTGATAGCACAGCTGCCAACCGAAGTCCTTAACATTAGCTCTAGCACTGGGAATACTGTTTGTGCTTTCAAATGAGTAATGATCTTCAAAATTCTTGTACAGGTTTTTTAATATTCCTAATGAATGAGGTAGCCACTCTCTTTACACTACCTGCATTAAATATATACAAAACATATATAGCCAGGTTTCCAAATATATTAGAATCCATTTTTTTAAAGCGTTTGTTTGTTTTGAAAGAGAGAGTGCACGAGCAGGGGAGGGCAGAGAGAGAGAGAGAGAGGGGGAGAGGGAGAGAGAGAATCCCAAGCAGGCTCCTTGCTGTCAGTGCAGAACCTGACAGGGGCTCCAACTCACGAACCAGGAGATCATGACCTGAGCCAAGATCAAGAGTCAAACGCTTAACCAACTGAGCCACCCAGGTACCTCTAGAAGCCATTTTTAAACAGAGTGAAGAGAAGAGAAAGAACATATTAAGGTTGGTGCATTCTGACTGTTATTAACAGTGACATGAGGGACCAGGTACTATATACTAGGTGTCTAACCTGTGCCATGTCACGTGTTGGTCAGTGTACTGTCATCACGCAGAGCCTGGGGCTCAGAACTAGGATTCTCTACCTGACTAGTTATATGCCCTTGGAAATTCAGCATTGCCACGCTTCACTTTCCTGTCTGCATTACCAGTTTCCCAGAGGACTTCAGAGGACCAAAAGGATTCATGTAAAACTCAACTCACTAAAACTTAGCATTTACATTATTTATTTCTTACAACCTCTCTATGAAGTATTGATATTATCTTTAGTGCCTCATCTGTCATATAGTTTAACTTTCTCTAGAATAATTTACCATCCCAGTCAGAATGGTACCATACCAGAATTACCATACCATTTGCAAATCTGCAGTAAAACTGCAGCAAAAGATGAGGAAATGAAAAAAAATAGATGGAAAAAATGAGGCCAACTACAGAAAAAGGCAAATTTTAATAAAAATCACAGTTGACTTCTGACATTCAGAAGAACCACCAGGAACACAAAGAACAGAGGGTAGGGGGCACCTGGGTGGCTCAGTTGGTTGGGTGTCTGACTTCCGCTCAGGTCACGATCTCACTGCTTGTGAGTTCGAGCCCCATGTCAGGCTCTGGGGCTCTGTGCTAACAGCTCAGAGCCTGGAGCCTGCTTCGGATTCTGTGTCTCTGTCTCTCTCTGCCCCTCCCCTCCTCTCGCTTGCTCTCTCTCTCAAATTAAAAAAAAAATAAAAAAAAATAAAAGAAGAATATAGGGTAGAAAAAAATAAAATGCAGAAAGAAAAGTAAATCAATAAATCATCCTTATTTGTACCAGTTCCCATTTTCAGGCCTGAGTACTACAAAGGCACCCCCAGCTTCATTAGCTCTGCGCTTTAAATCACCAAGCTTAGAGACAGCTATTGACACTTGCTTATTAGCTTTTTGTTCAGCTAACTTGAGCTCTAGGAGCTTATGTAAAATTAAGAACAAGACTCAGGAGGAGCACGAAGTTGCTACACAAAGAATAGCTCTCCTACAGTTTTCTCCCAACTTCGTGCTCCAAGGCCTGCCCAGCCCTGTGTGAATGCTCTGGGAGATTCAGACTTGGGGGTGGGATTAACTCTGTGGTATGGAGCTGTGTTTTCCCTGCCTCCAATTTTTTTAGATATTGAGAAGACAGTCTATGACAAACACACTTCATAGTCCATGACTTATAAAACCTCCAGGGCCACCAGGCTGCTGGTATCTGAGGCTAGGGTTTTGTATCTCTCCAGCTCTCCTCATCCCCATGACCTTCAGCTTTGTGCTTTTCACAGAACTTGAGGCAGCTGTGATGCTCTACCCCCTGGGCTACCACCCAAAGTCTGGAAGTCCCGATCATGAGTATTGAAACCCTGAAGATCAACACTTTGCTGCAGAGATGCCAAAGCAGAAGGTTCTATAATGTTAATATTCATTCAGAAATTTTTTATTTGCAGTACTGAAGTACACAAACATATTATAAATGTCTAATAAAATAAAATCTGAGAAAAAATGGCCTTGAGGAACCTAGTTTGAGAAATTAGTAAGGATACTCCCCCATTTTGGAAGAGGGCACCTGTCAGCTGTTGTATGATATGCCATTTAGGGAAAATTTTATCTTGTGAACAGGAAGAGGGAGATTTTTGTCAGATATAGCCAATAACTGAATCTTAATCCATAATGTAATCCATAATGACCATAAAGGTCATTAACAAGAAGAAACACAACACAAACTGACATATCTGCTGACTCCAGATATCCCCACAATAATGGGTATACTAAGGATTTAGCTGTAGGAGGCTACCACAAAGAGAAACAGGAGGAATCCTCTCTACTGAAACATGTACAGAAGTATTTCATTAGAATGCTCACCAACACTGAAATGTTTGCAAATAGAAATACCACATATGACTTTCTTTAGCCATCCAAAATGCAAAAGAAAACTTTTAATCCAGCATCCCCCCCCCCCAAAATAACCCTAAACCCATGTAAAAAGATCAAAAGCCATCAGAATGGGAAGGGGTAATTCTAAAAAATCAACATTGGTTTCAGTACCTTAAAAAAAAAAAAAAAAGGGTAGCTTCTACCCACTGGATTCATTGGTCAGACAAATTCCAGGGAGGTGGATATTTATGCTATGGGCCACGGCAGAGCTTTCCCCGTGTGTCATGTGTGTGCCATCCCCCTCCCCAAACTCCCCCGCAGCCTGGGGAGGTGCGTGGCATTAGATCCTGTTCTGAGACTCAGCGCGAGAAGGCTGCTAAGGTAACACAGAGGGGCAAACAGGCAGAATGAGGATTTCACATTTCTTTTTTTCACTTGCAAGTGTGTTTCTTGCCTCTGTACTTCACATACCTCTTGAGTATTTAGAACAAGGATGTGCATTTACTCCTCTTTTTACTACTCCATCATGAGCATGAGTGATGCTTTTTACCATCAACCAACAGTGCCAGCACCAAATAAACCAATACCGTTAAGTCTAACGCTAATACACTTTGCCTGCCAGATTTAAACTGCCAAGGAATTCTTACCTGGTGCTCCTGTGTACATGATGGAAAATACGTTTATTGCTATTGTAGCAGCATAGAACACTGGAAGTGCCCGGAGGCCATTGGGAACAGGGTCCTCCTGTATGATAATGAGATAAAGTTGAAGGTCAGGATTCAGGAAGCATCTGGAGCCAACAGAGGCAAAATGATATAAAACACTGTTACGAGAAAGTCTTCCAAACTGTGGTGTGGCCAAAACAGCTGGCCATGTCACTGCCGTGTGATCTATTGCACATCAGCTCGGGCTGTCTCTCCTACACAATTACTATTTCAAAGAGCACTATTGTGGCCAGCAGACACGTTGAAGCACTAAAATCACATGAGCTGATGTCAGATTTAGAAACAGAGAAGAGCTGTGAGGTTAGGCCAGTTCCTGGGGACTGAAGCCCGGAGCTCAGCATCTACTTCAAACCCCGTGGTGCTCACCACGCCAGCTAGTTTCAGGTTTGGCCCTGAAAATTCACTTTCAACAAATATTTGAAGACTCAACCCTCGGATGATACCCCAAGAAAGCCAAATTACTTAAACACCACTGCATTACTACTAGATTTTACATCGCCCTATTGCACAATACATTTTAGCTCTATTAAAATATATAAAGCAAATATATTACCGTATGCTATGGCTTTTTAAGATCTTTCATAAGTTATAGTATTTAACCTTCAACTATTAAGAATTAAAAAGAACTGTGGGTTCTTTATCTAACAAAAAATGTATTTACAATTTTAGGTTTCTGGTACATTCCCTAAATCTAATACTTCAACAAGAAGGGATACTGCATATGTTTTACACTAAATAACATCTGAGAAAATATTCAAAATTTAGGGTTTTAAGCAGATCTACAGAAGATTTTGAAGCAAAAATACGGACTGGGAACTCATCAATACAGCACCGGCACATAGATGTCACTTAATTCAAAAAAGGACTCCTTTCTAATGACCATGTAAGACACTGGTACATTTATATAAATCTGCTACCTACCCATGATAAAAGGAAAATTAGATCTAACAACTGCTCTGAGCCCCAGGAGTAAGGATAAATGGAGATGATGAAAGATTCCTAGCGTCAAATGCAAACATGTATGGAAATCAAGTATGTTTGCAGAACAGTACAACCCATTAAGAACCTATTCTGGAATGTCTCAAGTAGCCATCAGCACTTGTCAAGAGGCTTGAGTTGAATGGTAGTGAGAGTAAGGACCAGTAAGAGCAGGGGTAGTAAGTGATTCAATTACATGAGAGTTACAGCCAGCCCAGCAGGGTTGACAAGCACAGAGAACATGATGCCAGGGGCCAGGGCAGGAGCCAGGGATGAGGGGCAGTAGTCTTCTCACCTGTTGTGTATCATGTGACAAGAACCCAGGCTCAACTACAAACAAAATGTGCGGGTGCTCAAATGCCCACTGCCCCTCATTTCCAAAATGTTTTCTCAGGCCAAGAGTTACTAAAGACTCCTAAAGTGTCTAAGTCCTGAATTTACATTTTATTTTATTTTATTGAATCACCTTATGTTTTTTCAAATAACCTATTCTTAAAACTCAGATGACAACTATCTTCAGACCTCTCTTCTCTGCTCCCTCCTTCCCTCTCTTTCTTTCCTTCCATGCATCCATCTGTCATCTGCCACCTAAGCATTCATCATTCCCTCTTAAATGTTCCATCAGTGTCCTTGAAGTACCAAGCCCAGTGCTGGGCACTAGAACATGAAAGCAAGCAAGTAAGTCATGGTTCTACTCTCACAGACCTAAAAGTCAGAGACAGCAAATAGGCTGCTAAGCAAGAAGTAAAACACCACACAGCACAACAGTGCAATGATGACAAAGCACGGAGCACTGCAGAAGCATGAGAGAGAGGAAAGCAGCCAGAATTGGGTGGGAGATGAAAAGACTTCCAAGGAAATGGCATCTCAAGGCTGAGGAGCAGTAGGAATTTGCCAGGCAAGGGTTCCAGGCAGAGGAAGTAAAAAAAAACTGAAGTGTAGCAGGTAAGAGAGGGTGGCACCTTCCAAGACGTAAATAAATACTAGTATGGAGAGGGGCCAAGAGAAGGAATGGTAGAGCTGTGTACTGATCCAAGAGAAGGAGCCCTTCAACAGACTACTAGGCAAAGCCAAGGAAAACCAGACGCATCTCCAAGCAAGGATACACTTGAAGGAAGGCCTGTCCCTGATGGGCTCAATGCGTACCACAACACAACAATCAGAGGCATGCTTTATGGCTTATAAAATATTGCAACAAGCTCTTGACAGTCAAATAAAAAAATACAATCAAGTTTTGTTTTGTCTTTTTATGGAATACAGATCTTAGTAATTTCTAATTTTAATCTCATTTTAATTTTTGATAAAATGTACCCCCCAAATAGGTATATTACCTTCTTTTTACCCTTTCCTCAGGGATAGGAAAAAGTCAGTGTCTCAGGCTTGCCATCTCCATTAAAATAGAGAAGACACTCGTATTTGGGTAAAGAAATTCTCCAGATGTTTTTAGTGATAGTCTACTTCAAAATCTTAACACTATCACACTCTGTTCTGTTTAACATTCAGGAAATTACTTTGCCTGTTTGGGTTCTGTGCACAATGCTTGGGGGAGCCAAGTAATACACTAAACCACAGGGCAAGAAACACTATTTACAATGCTGCTTTCTGGGGGAGCCCCTGGGTACTCTCCTCTGCCTACTTTAAGATAAAGTCTAGGGGCGCCTGGGTGGCTCAGTCGGTTGAGTGTCCGACTTCGGCTCAGGTCATGATCTCACAGTCTGTGGGTTCAAGCCCCGCATCGGGCTCCGTGCTGACAGCTCAGAGCCTGGAGCCTGTTTCGGATTCTGTGTCTCCCTCTCTCTCTGACCCTCTCCCGTTCATGCTCTGTCTCTCTCTGTCTCAAAAATAAATAAACGTTAATAATAAAAAAAAAAAAATTAAAAAAAAATAAAAATAAAAAATAAAAAGATAAAGTCTAATTCTAACTGCAGGGTGCTATGCCTTAACAGTGTAAAAATATAATCATTCCTCCGACCCCCTCACTGCTAATTTCTATTGAATACAACCAAAATTAGTTCTAAAACTTAATAAAAAAAAATAACAGCTTCACTTACCTTTTTTAAGATGAAAATTCTGATCAGTATAAACAGCACACCAGACATGAAACCAGACAACAGTGGGGATATAAACCAGGAAGCAACTGAATAATTAAAAAAAAATCTAATGAATGTTAAAATTCTATATAACTCAAGTCCTATTTATATGATATAATGATAACTAACACATAGTACATACATTAATAAATATTCCTAGAATTATTCACCTTAACTCAGAACCTAACAAACCTACTTCCCAGGCACGGCTGACCTTCGCACATGTGCAGCTGTCCTCAGACAGAGTCCCACGTAAGTGAGCACATTTTCAGCACAGTCAGGTAAGGGACCCTGAGCTCTGGCCTGAAAAGACAGACTCCTTTGATTCCCACTAAGCCCCTTCTGTCTGCTCATCTTCTCCATCCCTATGGAGACCTGATCCTTGCTCCAACAGTAAAGGTTATTTAAAAGGTGAACCACCTTCCGTTTCCTTTTCCTAGTTCAGCCTGGTACTGACATCCTGACACTATAACCCAGTAGTTCCCAACTCTGGCTACACACTGGAAATATCTGGGGAGTTTTCAAACCCTACTTATGCTCTGGTTCCACTCCCCAAATTCTGACTTAAAAGGTTAGGAAAGGGGGCTTGGCACTGATTAAATTGCTTTCCCAGGTAATTCTAAGGTGCAGCCAGAGTTGAGATACACTGTTGAAGAAGCCTCCTGGGATCTGAGGTGATTCTCCCGGCTGTGTCCCTCCCTGCTTGGCAGGTCAGGGGTCTGTTTGACCTAGAGCTCCAGACGCCACTGTGATTCTTATACAGATGAGTAACCCAGAGGATGGAGATGAAGTAGGAGAGTGTTTTTCACAAAGGGCAGGTTTTTACTTATGGGGATGAATGGATTTCCCTCTTGCTAAAAGCCAGAGCCAGGAAGCAGACTGTCAGACCTGTTAGACCAGTCCCTCCTGGGAAGCCTACAACCCAGGAGGAGTGCTAGAGTGTTTCCCGTGTTTCCTGAGCAGGGGGCAGACTGGGAGACCTCTCCAATGCAGTGAGGTAAGTAACACTGAGCTCACCCCAGGGTTCCCCATGACCATGAACTCTGCCTCTTGGACAATGAAGGTATTTTCTTTACTAGGGCCTAGTATTTTTCTGACTACAGTCTGATTTCAGTCAGAAAAATTTCTTTTCTGTCTGGGAACAACAGATAGATACTGATTTTCAAAGCCAGATGACACTGAAAAGAGTAGAGTTCAAACTCATCTAAGACAGGGGCACCTGGGTGGCTCAGCCAGTGAAACATCTGACTTCAGCTCAGGTCATGATCTCACAGTTCATGGGTTCAAGCCCTGTGTCGGGCTCTGTGCTGACAGCTCAGAGCCTGGATGGAGCCTGCTTCAGATTCTGTCTCCCTCTCTCTCTGTCCCTCCCCCACTCATGCTCTGTCTCTCTCTCTCTCTCAAATAAATATTAAAAAAATTAAAATTAAAATTAAAATAATTCATCTAACACATAAAAGTTCACAATCTCTGTGAGGAGAAATCTTACTGGTAAATGGACTACCCATATAGGTCTTCTAAACCCTAACATCCAAAGGGGAAAATATATTATAATGGTGACTTTTAATAAAACTTACTCTAGAGAATGTAAACTTTCCTTCTGATACGTAAAAGAAAATGGCAATTACCAATCTTGACAAGCTCCATCCACTGCACACCTTGTGTACCAATTGCAACAAGTGAGAATCCTATAGTAGAACCAACGATGCAATGAGTTCCTGAGATTGGAAGTCTCAGGAAGGATGCAATGAGCTGCCAAACAGCTGAGCCTATAGGTGGAAAGATTAAAAAAAAAAAAAAAAAAAAAAAAAGTCAGACATAGAATACGGCATCTCAAATAGCCACAAAAGGAAGAAGTCCAAATTACTGTTCTCCATAACACCTCCCTAGGGTTGATTTTTTTTTTATGGATTATTTCTTTACAGAGTGCTTAAGTCCTAACAAAAATCACTCACTGAACTTTAGTGAAAAGAATATTCTTCAACACTGAAGGGATAATGATGATTTATTGAAAGAAACATATTTTAAAAGTATTTAAAGTTTTTTGATGTCAGTTATTAACTGCTTTTGTCACATTTAGGTGCTGACGATGAACTTGTTTTGATGTGAAGGGTGGCCAAGACCAAGCAAGAAATTACAGACTCTAGAGAACACAGAGCAACATGAAAGGCTGCATACTGGAAAAGATTTCACTGTATTTATGCCTATCGTCACATAATGAGGAGGGCTAGATACCAGCGATGTCCTATTTGTCAGAGAGACTAATATACAAACAACAAATCATTACATTGTACACCTCAAATTAATATAGTGTTACATGTCAATTACACCTCAATAAAAAAATAAAAATAAAATAAAAGACATTGTGTAATTCCACATTGTTTTTTGTAGTTGTGCCTCTCATATGAGAAGTCACCATGAAATCTAACCCACAGGTGGGCATCTGCTCTCAGCCCCTACCCAGAATGCCAGGCATCTTATATGCAACCTCCCTCAAGTCTTCTAATTCTTTATTAAGTTAAGAGGATCCTTAGTTTTGGCTTTGTGTCCTTTTACCTCAATTTCACCTCCTTTTCCAGGCTTAATGTTTTTCTAGGCTACAGTTCACTCCAGATATTTTCATAAGCAGATCAAATTCTGCAGTGCATATTAAAAGCATCAGCTGGGCGAGATCACTTTCAGAAACAGTTGTCAAAAAGCTCATATAGGACTGTAAGGGAACAAAGGGCTTGGCTGATAAGCAGGGCACGTTATTAATCCCAAATGTTAATTCTGGAAATCTGTTGCTTGGCAGCAGCACTTTTAAGCAAATCCCTGGCATTTTCTTCAAAAATATCTGAGTTACAGAGGATCATTAATGGCTGTGCAGGCCCTAATTTGTGAGGCAATGCTGACATCAGCTCCGTGAGTGCCGGGCAGGCCCACCTGTGAGCCAAATTATTGGCTGTGACCCTGTCTACGTCTATCCCTGTCCCTGGAGTGTGTTGGGAGGAGGAGGGGCCAGCCTCCATGGCAGCACCCAGGCCTCCCCGTGGACAATTCCTTAAGCCTCCACATCTAAGCCCTGAGCTCCTGAATGACTGACTAGTTTGTTTTAAAAATAGAGCCAGAATTTGGAGCATGTTACATGGCACAGAACAGTAACTTGAAAAACATACTTATGATTTCTATTCTTATGAAACTAAAATAATCTCATGATGTTAATAGTATAAACTCACCCAAATGAATTTCAGACCATGAGGTTTTCTTTACTGAAAGCTGCTATCCCTCTCTGGCTGACTTTATAACGTATGTCTTGGAGCAGCAGGGTTTGTAAGGAAAGGTCGGGAGGACAGGGCTGCCTTCAATGGAGGTGGGGGGAAGGTGGGAAGGAGGTGAGAAAGGGGGCCAGTGGGCACAAAGGAAAGGGCTGCAGAAAGGAGGGGAAGGTGAAGGTGGGTATTTGCAGGACGCCTGGCAAAGTGAGAGTGGGGCAGCCCTCCTAACCCTCGGGAATTTCTGAAGGCTGATGGGATTAATCTTCTTAATGTTAAGAAAAACAGTGGGAAAAAAGATATTTTAACTTAAGATAACGATATCTTATAAAGAGGAAAGGATTAAGTATGAAACAAGGGTATAAGACAAAACCTAGGGAGAGTGGGGGAAAGGTGAGCACCTCTGAGGCAACAGATTCCCGGGAAGACGGAAGAGTGGCAGCTCAAAGGCGCAGGGTCACCCAGAAGCAGACCAGCAGTGTGAATGAGCCCGAAGAGGCTCCAGGCTCCTGAGAAGGCTCAGTGGTTAGGGAGCATTAAGGGGACAGGGTACTTCTTAGGGTGGTTCCAGGAGATGGCTTGTTCATGCTTTTGTGGGTATTTCCATGAGAAGATGGGGAGTTGTGAATTCCCAGATTTTTGGAACCATTGGTGGTTTTCATACTAAGTGGACTATTGCTTTAGGGCTGAGCTCAGCGTCCCAAAAGGGAACTTGTTCAGAAAGTTTGGCTGGCACAAATAATTTCTTCCACCCAATGAACCCAACGCTACCACAACTCTATCAGAAAGCACAGAGACCCAAGGGCTTAGGGAAATGTTTCTTAAGAAAAAAAGGAAGGGGCGCCTGGGTGGCGCAGTCGGTTAAGCGTCCGACTTCAGCCAGGTCACGATCTCACGGTCCGCGAGTTCGAGCCCCGCGTCGGGCTCTGGCCTGATGGCTCAGAGCCTGGAGCCTGTTTCTGATTCTGTGTCTCCCTCTCTCTCTGCCCCTCCCCCGTTCATGCTCTGTCTCTCTCTGTCCCAAAAATAAATAAACGTTGAAAAAAAAATTTTTTAAAAGAAAAAAAGGAAAAAATAAAAGAACAGAATAAAAGGATGGGGGAGAGAAAGAGAGAAGAAATGGATATTGAGTTTAGAAGAGAAAGATGGGGACAATTCAGGCATCGGAACAGAATCAGCTTTGGTTCTGGCCAATAATAATTATAGCATTGTATTAACAAAGCTCTCATTTGCAAGAAATCCAATTTTAAAAATCTAGGTAACACACAAATTCCTAACAAAAACAGGCTTTGAGATTCATCTAACCACACACCAAAAAAAAAAAAAAAAAAAAAAGAAAAGAAAAGAAAGAAACCAAAGCAAACAAAATCAAGTTATTCAAGCAAAACCCCAAATTGCTTTGGTTAACCTAAATTCTAGTTGAGGTAAGTATTCTTCATTCTTTCAGTAAAGAGCCAAAGGCCAGGGGTGAGAGAACTGAGAAACTGGACAAGTTATACTGCTCACATGAAAAGTGAGCAGTGACATGAAGCTCGAGGTTCACAAGGCTTTCTGCCTAACCCAGAGCCTCGCTGTGGCCTCACTAACAATCTCTTTAATACATGACCATTCTTCAGAAGTTCTATCCAACAAAAGGAGAAACTGCTGTTAAGATTTAATTTGATCAGTGCTTTTCTTTATTACTCCCTTACTTTCAACATTTCTTGGGGCGCCTGGGTGGCTCAGTTGGTTAAGCATCCGACTCTTGATTTCAGCTGAGGTCATGATCTCACGGTTGTTAAGACTGATCCCTGTATGGGCTCCTCATATGGGGCTTCTCACTGAGCATGGAGCCTGCTTAAGATTCTCTTTCCCTAGGGGCACCTGGGTGACTCAGTTGGTTGAGCGTCCAACTTCAGCTCAGGTCATGATCTCACAGCTTGTGAGTTCGAGCCCCAAGTCGGGCTCTGTGCTGACAGCTCAAAGCCTGGAGCCTGCTTCGGATTCTGTGTATGTGTGTCTCTCTCTGCCCCTAACCCACTTGCATTCTGTCTCTGTCTCTCTCAAAAAATAAATAAACATTAAAAAAAAAAAAAGATTCTCTTTCCCTCACCCTCTGCCCCTCCTCCACTCACGTGGGGGGTGGTGTAGAGACGGAGGCACAGGCACTCTCTAAAAAAAAAATTCTCACCCGTAGCACCCTGACTGGAAAAATTTTAACTTCAGCTCGATATGATTAGGTCTTAGATACCTATCGCGACAACCAAGATGATTTTTATAAATAACTGTTAGTTTTCTAAGGGAAATCCCACTTACATATGACTATGATGAGACATAGATGTTCAGTGAGGGTAAGTAAAATTCAATCATTACAACAGCTGCTGGCAATAAAGCAATTGTGAACCTTACATCTTTAAGTGTTGAGAAATAGGAACTCCTTGGCACGTATCACCAGCATACTGTGCTTAACAGTATTCAATACCTTAGTACATCTGTATTGGATATGGATCAAATGCCAACAACTTCTCAAACTAACTTGCTGTAACAAAAAGATGGTGTATCATCTTCTATTTGGCAAATAATGCCCACATTCTGGGCCCTTAAGAAATGCCAGTGACAGTACAGAACTAGGGACCTGTGGAGTGTAGCTGTATTCTTGGTACACCAGCATCTTACCTCCTACTGCAGGACTCTTCCTACAAAAGGATATGTCCTGTTGAAAGCAGAAGGTGGTAGGATTCCTCTCTAACCCTCTTCTCCCTAACCAAATTACCCGTATAGATCAGCTGTCTGCTGGGACGTCATCTCTACCTAGAGGCAAGCAGAGAAAGAGTCCTCTCAGCTGCATTTAAGATATTCCTGCCTGAATCTTGTTCTCAGCTGTAGCAAGTGCAGGAAGGGAAGCACCCCACAGTGCTTCAAGTTGATGGTCACCTTGACCAATGGAGAAATCACACTGTTTGATTGGGTCAATCTGCTTATTAACATGCTTCACTGCCCTTGACACTTTTCTTTCATCTAGACAACCAGAAACCACCAGTATAAGGTCATACTGTAAACAGGTGACACACAAATGGTCTTTTGGCCAGAAAACAAAACAAACATCCCAAATGGAGCTTCCAGAGGTAGAAATCAGAAAATCAAAACAAAAGCCACAAAAAGGATTACAAATAACGTAGAAGACTGGAATTTCTTGAAACACAGGCACTTAAGATTCATCTGGTAACTACTCAAGCACACAAACCGAGAACACAAAAGTTAGTAAAAACTGTTTCTTAGCATCCAAGTATTCAAAACAGTGTATCGTAACTGATGAAATATCTATGGAAATATCAAGGCTATTTCCCAAGTAAACCTTACAAACACATTCACTTAGACAAGTTATTTCTTTAAAATCTTTCAAACCACTTGAAAATGACAGCTATTATACAATCTTTGTCTGGACTTCATAAATAAAGTACTCTTAGCCAAAACTATTTTAACAGCAAAGTTTGCTAAGAATTTGAGAAAATGGTTGCTTGACACTTGAACACTAAAAAATTAAAAAAAAAAAAAAGAAAGAAATTAAAGTGCAGAAAGCAAAAATAAGATGCAGTAAATATGAAACATCACACCAGTTTCTGAAGTTAAAGCAAAGATCACATTTATGGACAGGACAGAAGTACTATAGGGAAGGAAGTAGGCCAGCGGAAACGTTTCTTATTGTCGTAAAGAATAATGCTACTTACCAACCATTGCACTAACTTCCCCAGCCATTAGTGTTTCTACTGTCTCGTTGTATAGGTTCACATCAATGATACCTTTTCGAATGGTCTCTCCTACTTTGGCTCCCAATAACACTGAGCCGGTGGTTTCAAATATTGAAGCCAAAATGCATGCCTGCCTCAAGGTCACCACGCCAGAGCCCACAGCAGTACCAAATGAATTGGCAACATCATTTGCACCAACGGAAAATGCCAAGATAAAAGCTATGATAAAACCCAAAATGACCATCCACAAATACTCATCCATGGCCATTTTGGAAAGTGGGCGCCAGGTACTTTTCTCGTGCGGGAATATTTTAAATAAACAAAGCTTGAGGTTATAAACGTCGTAAGGCCGAGAGTTCTTGTAAACAGTGAGTTTGCTCTGGAAAGTGCTGGACAATGTTAGAGCCTGAACAAACTGCTAACTGCTGGTTTTCAAACTACTGTCAGTACAGTTCATTTGGTTGTGTTCAGTCAGCGGTAAAACACATTCCATATTTTTCCTCCCAATCTGGGAAAGCTGTGATGTCTCCTCCTGTAACAGAAAACAAAAGAAATCAATTACCCTAAGCAACCTGTAACAGTTTGTTCTTTCAGAAATAAATGTTTTAAGCCTACTAATGGAATCTAATTTTGACATGTGACAGATCTAACCATAAAGCAACTCAAGGAAGATTATAATTAGGTTAACTGCCTACCCACCCCCCTCCACCAAAAAAAAAAAAAAAAAAAAAAAGAAAAAAAGCTGGTCTCTACAGTATCAGTGGTTGAAGAAGCATGCTTTATAATTATAGGCTGCCAATTAAGCCTTAATAGGATATGACTTTATGCAATCTGCAAAATATATTTCAAATGGGCAAAAAAAATGAGGATGCAGTTGTAGAGTTTTTGAAATATGTGGAATGTGCCTAATTTCTTGGAACAGCGATTAACAAATGTGATTCTGTGACACCACAGGGTAGGCTAATTATCTACCTGCTCATTTACACATAAGGAACGAGCACTTTATGAATACACCATGCATGTATCTGAAAGAAAGCTTACAGTTTCTAGTTTGTTACCCTCGCCAGAGGGTAACAAAGGTGGAAACCGAAGGCCCTTGCAGGAGGAACAGAGAAAGGTGCAGAATGAAACAATCCTATTGAAACACGATTCAGATGTCATGATTCCATGACTACCCATATCTCATTCAGAGGAAAAGCCAGAGGTCTCATCACACCTTGGAAGACCCTCCAAGGTCTCCTCAGGGCCCCACCCCAGCCCACTGACCTCAGCTCCGATCGCTCCTTCCCTCGTGGGCTCCTTGCTTTTCCTTGAAAACACCAAGCACTCTCATCTCTGGGCCTTTGCACCTGCTGATCCCTCTGCCAGACAGAAATCTCCTGACAGCTGTGTAGCTAGCTACTCCTCACGCTATTTAGGTCTTTGCTCAAATGACATTGTGAAAGAGCAGCCCCTCCCCCCATGCCATTATCCCGTCCTGCTCACCTTCCTTTTTATCTTTTCTACTTATCACTGCATTCATTCATCCATTCTTGTCTGTCTCCTTTCACTAGGGTCCAGGACACAGAATAGTGCCTGGCACATGGGAAGCCCTAATAAACTTGCTGATTACATGAAAAAAGAAGCTATTAAACATGGAGAAAAGACTTGCAATATTCCTCCACAATAAACAGGCAATGTCACAAAGTTAATATATCTATGAAGTAAATGTGTCACCAAAAGCTTTGGAACTATGGTATTCTATTATTATATAGTCAAAGTACCAAACTGTGGTATCGTTTTCTTTGAATAGTATTAGGCGTACAGAATGGTGCCTAGCACAGTCCAGTTCTTCACAGATGCTTATTGAGTTGAACTGAATGAATTAGGCTCATACATCATAGACACAGACAATATAATGATCAATCAACATTAAGGTTATTTAGTAAGAAAAAAACCAGGATGCTAAATTTTATGTACTTTGTGCTTATGGCAATGTTAAAATACATATAAAAAGACCAGCAGGTAATATACTACAATCAGAACAGTGGCTAAATTTGAGTTGTAGTATTAAGGATGATTTTTTTTTCTTTCCATCAAAAACTGTAAACTGGGTTATATGCTTTTCAAACTAAAGTAGTATATAATAAATCAATAAGCATCTACTGAGAGACATCTATGTGTGCAATATTACAGGCATAACATGAAACAAAATATATACTAATAGATTTTATCATTTGCTAAGATTTGAAGGCTATGCAATTCTGGAGATTTAGATCCCACATGAGACAAATGAAAAGACCACTCTAAAGGCAAAAGACAATATTCTACTAAAAGAGTATTTTATTAATACCATGGGCACATTAAGTCTACAAATGAAAATACAAAATAGAAATATTTTGGACCAATATTATCTAATCTTAAAGTAGAATTCTTGATGCAATCTTCTTTGCCAGGTTAGCTTGTCAAGAGGGCAAATGAGAAAGAATAACATCAACAAATACTGATTGATGAGCTCCCCTGTGCCAGTCACCAGGAATATGATGATGAGTAAAAATGGATGTGGGGCTTACGGCCCAGTGAGGGCAACACACGCTAACCAAATAAACATACAAATGTATGACTGTTAGCTGTCATGAGTGCTACGAAGGCAGGAGGCACACATCACGCAGTGTCGTGACAGCGCAGTTCTGGGTCTGAGAGGGCAGGGAAGGCTCAAGGGCGATCTAAGGATGGTGGAGTTAACTCTGGGGTGGGGGAGGCGTTCCAGGCACTGCCCAGACAGGAGGGAGCAGCGTGAGGGAGGACAGGCAGGCCAGCATGAGGAAGCCGCAAGCAAGCTGACAGGAGCCCTACTCAAGACTGTGGCCATCATGCAGACAGTCGGGTGCCACAGAAGGGTTTTAACCAGAGGGAGGCCGACCTGTCAGATGTTCATTTTGGAAAGGTCATTCTGGCTGCCATGCAGACAATGGGCTAGACAGAAGGGTGAATGTGGAGAGGCTCCTCCTTCTGCATGGTTTGGGTATAAGGGGAGGCCCCTGGCCCAGCGTGGTGGTGGCACCGAAGGGAAGAGAAAGGACATAAAGAGGTTTCAGTGGCTCAAGTCAAGTCAACTTTGTGGTGGCCTATGTGCAGGGGCTGAAAGAGACAGCTGGTTACTGACTCATGGACCTGGGATGAAAAATAGCCAAATAGAGTTTTTATGTTTTCTCTTTTACACTGTTTCTAGTTTTGTTTTTATATGTTAGGGAGAGGTTCGAGCCCCGGTTCACTCTGGGACATGCTGCACACACAGGTAAATCATAGGAGCACCAAAGAAGGTATATCCTCAGCCCAGGCTTTTCATTGTCTTCACGATCCCTCAGGCAAAATTTCAGACCAGGGATTCCCTCTCCTACTTAGATAATCTTAGACAACTTATTTCTACAATCATGTCTATGTTCTTTGATTCAGCAAAGAACACATCACATTACATCCTATAAACATCTGGTTAAGGAGAAAGGTGTTTTTCAGACCAAATGACTACTATTTTGTTTTATATTTATAGGGCCTGTTTTTTTTTATGACAAGTACCAACACCCTGATTTTCTCCCTCTTCCATTAATTTTTATCAAAATGGAGCAAAATAAAACAAAGCAGTTAAACAAGTGTGCAACTTGCTGCACAGAAGGTGGTAATGCTGCTGAGACGGGGCCACTGTCAGGGGTGGCCAGGGAACATCGCACACAAGGCCAAGACTGTCGAGAATACAGAAGCCCAAATTCAGAGTGGCTGAGGTCTGGCTGGGTATGACACCTGAGAGTGCTGGGTGTTTGAAAGCAGGATCTTGGAGGTGAGCAATCAAATCAGTGGGGACAGGTCAGCTTAATCAACAAGTGATGTTGGGCCAATGTGCTAATTGCTAATTAACTGGAAGGAAGAAAAAAAGATCCCTACCTCATACCAAAATAAAAGGAAGATTTAAATGTGAAAACTGAAACCTGAAGAGAATAAGAAAAAAAAAATGTAAATATTTACTTAATATTGGGATAAGGGACACCTGGGTAGCTTAGTCGGTTAAGCGCCTGACTCTTAATTTCCGCTCAGGTCATGATCCCAGTGTGGTGAGCCCCTGCATCAGGCTCTGCGCTGAGTGTGGAGCCTGCTTGAGAGGCAGCCTAGACCTGATACTGAAGAATCAACTCATTTGAGTTCATAGAAATCATGTAGCTGGGAGACAGAGAGGCTTGATGTGTGGAAGCATCACATGTAAATGCCTCTTCTCCTCAGCAATGATTCTCAACAAGGGCGCAATGTTATAACTTCCAGTGAAAGCCTTGGTTCTTTTCTCTCTCCTACAAGAGCTTTTCTGAAAAGGGTCAGAAGATGAAGGAGGGTCAGAACAAGCCCCCTAACTCTCTCTCTCTCTTTCACCCAGTATGAAGCCCCTATATGGCTAAGATATTCTTATAAGGTTACAAGATATTCTTCAATTTTCAAATGCCGCCAACCTCTTGCATTTGAGGAAGAGGGTACATTTGGGAGAGGTACTAGTGGTCTTGTGAGTTCGGTCTCCCAAACCTGTAATGGTAATAAGATCCTCATTCTCTTTCCTCGGTGCCTTCAATGGCTTCTGAGCATGTTTCTCAACTCTGAGTTCTGCTCACCATCACTTCTGTCCGTTGATCTCTGAACCAGCCCTGCTTCCTTCACCAGGCCCAGTGAGCATGCTGGCAGGACTCCCAAGTAAAGTGTTTACAGGTTCTCTCTCTAGAATTTCCTCCATGAGCATCTGCTTCACCTCTACCTCATACCCTCTTATCTACTACACTAGAAATATGAAGGCTGAAGAAAAAGTGAAAACAAACATTCTCAGAATATTTCTAGATGAATTTGTACACTGTCTAAAAACAGGGATGTTGCTGAGTTGTAGCACTTAATAGACATTAATGCAAAAAAAAGCCTGGGTGGGAGGCTCCCTGCTCTGAAATGCTGCTGAAGAGAACATCCAAGATGACCCCTGGTCTTTCCAAGCAAACATACGGAGGGGGTGCCAGTCTTCCATCCACGTTCCTCCTCTCTCAGCATCGCAGCCCAATCAGCTCCTCAGCCGGCATGACCCAACCCAGACAAGCAGGTCTGTGGTGGACTGTGGCTGAGTTATGACTTGTTCCAGGGATCCTGTGGTTTTAAAGGCCTGGTCCATGACCGACCTTCCTTCCTTGTTAGCTTCTGGCCTGTGGTGAGCTTTTCTCTGAGGTTTCATGGACTGCACCCAGGCCAAGCTCTCCCTCCACCATGTGAAGGGAAGGAGCCAGGTCCCCCATGCAGAGGACCTCAGTGCTCTGAAATAATTTTCCAACACCTCTTCTGAAGCCCAAAGTGCCTCACACTCAACTCTGAAAATGTAAAACCTACTTTCCTAGCAGCTAGGATTGGATCTTGAATTCTGACACTTAGGTAGAAATTTGAAGACGGTAATCTCTTCAATAGTATGATGTAAAATCTACGACTCTCTGCTACCTGTGAGTGAGTCTGACTACTTAGCCATAAAAATGACCACATTTTCAT